CGCGGTGGTGGTCTTGGGAAGTCATTTTTTTAGCCCTATTTCTTCCCCCACAGCCCCAAAACATAAACACTTGCCCTAGAAAGGAAAACTCTCAAAAACCTAACTCCTTAAGGGTCCCTACACCACCCAAGGTAAGTTCTAATGGTGATTTTAAGTTAATTTCGATTTTCCAATATCTTATTAACATGGGTAAACCCTCCATATCATTAGATATTTGATTGGGACACCATTGTTTATAGAAGAAACCCTAGAACTCGAATTCAAGAAGATTGAACGTCAAAAAGGTAATATCTTCACCCTCTAATTGATTCTATCATTGAATTAATGGTTATAGACTCTAGTACATGATATTTGAGTTGATGAGTTTGATAGAAAAGCATGAACAGTTATAGGTTTGGGTTGTTGATTGTTGATTATTGGTTAGGGGTATTGTTTACCTTATGAGTGATAAAGAATGATGTTGATTATAACCATTTGAGACTTTAGAATTTATCTAGAAGAAAGGGAATGGGTTATTAGGTGTAGAAATACCATTAATAAAGACTATGAAGCTTTATTCCACCAAGTGTTTGAGAAAATGCCTAAGTGACCAAAACATGAGTGTTATTGCTAATATGGAATCCCTTTGACTTGTATTGACATAGATTAAAGTTGAAAGGGTTGGCGAATGTTGTATTACGCTCAAGAGCAGGAAGTTAAGGTATGTGAGGATAAATCTCTATGTTTAGGAATATTAATAATTCTCCCTACACTACGTTTCTACGACGTATCAATTGCCTCTGAAATATAGTTAAGCCTAGTTCCTTGAAAAGTTGTAGAACTTCTATTCTCTAGCTTCGTAACTCGTTCATGACTTTCATTCTGAACGTTGTGAGCTCAGTTTGTATTCAATATAGACTTGGATTTGATGTCCCTAAGTCTCAGTATAGCTTACTCAGCATGTCATAAACAGTTGAAGTTTAAGTGTTCATAATCAGTTCAAGTATACATGTCTCATTCTAGTCCTATTCAGTATTCCAGTATTATATAACTCAGTATGATTTAGTATTCTAATATTATGTAACTCAGTATGATCCAGTATTCCAGTATCATGTAACTTAGCGTGATTCAGTATTTCACTATCATGTATTGCAGTATGATTCTTAGTTCCTGATTTTAAATTCCTGAATGTTGAACACCTGTATTTGGGCTTGAGGCCACAGTTTATGCTTTATGCATCTTTGGGCTTGAGGCCGCAATTTATGCTTTATGCATTTTGGACCTGAGGTTGCAGTTATGTATACGTATACTTGGGCTCGAGGCCGCAGTTGTGCACATATATATATTGGGCATGAGGCCACAGTTTAATTTTCAGATAAGCATGTTGTTCATCATTCAGAAGAGGGAGTATTCATATCCTTACTTCCTTTGTTCAGTTCAGTTATCAGTTATCGTTTTAGTTTCAATTTCAATAGTTATCATTTTAGTTATCATCTATCAATTCTCAGTTATCAGCTTAGTTTCAGTTTCAGCATTTACAATTCTTTCTTTTAGTTACTTTACATACCAGTGCAATTAAAATGTACTGACGTCCTGATGTTAGGCTAGAAACCCGTGTTTTAGTCGTGGTATTACATGCCAATGATTGTATTTTTACGTGCGTTTGAGCTCAAATGATAGTGAATTACACTTAGTACGTGTTTTATGCCTTGCAAGAAGCTATCCGGAGCTCAAAAGTTAATTTGGAGCTAAATTGTTCAATTTGGGGCTTTGAAGTCTGAGTAAAAGCCCAATACATTAAGTCGTGATCGTGTTCGGGGGTCGTGTACCAAGTCTGGATGTTAAAAGAGGACAAAATAAGTTCACTCTAAGAAAATTGCACTACTGGGCCGCATGGGGCGCCGCAGTGTAAAATTGTGCCTGACTCAAAATTATGAGGCTGCAGATAAAATGCACTACCGCACCGCATGGTGCGGCGCGGCCTGCGGCGCGGCTGTTCAATTTTTACAGAGCTAAGTCTTAGTTCGCGTAGGAAAGGGTTTTTTCATCTAGGATCGACCCTATTTAGTATAAATACATGTAAAAACGCCATTTTGAAGACTTTTGACATATCTTAGACCTAGGGAGACTATTGCAGAAGGGAGAAAACGTTTGGAGCAATTTCTGAAGGAGATTGGCATGAAATTCTTTATTCCTTCATATTTGCTTTGTAATTTAATGATACAATTTATTTGGAAAATTATGAACACGATTATGAGTAGCTAAATATTTAGTCTAAGGTTTTGGTGGAACCTATTGAAGGATGAACTTCTTGTTATGTTAATATAGTTTGTCTGGTTTAATCTCTATTTGTTCAACTACGTTCTTGTTATAGTTAATTGAAAGGATCCTCAATTAGCTGTGCCTATTTAGTATGCATAACTCAGGAGAGAGTGCATATTTAGCTAATTGTTGAACAACACCACTCCCAGAGTATATGAGGGATCAAAAAACCGAGGGTTTAAAGGCGGGATTAGGGATAACGAAGCCTTGGGTACAATCTAAAGTGAGTTGTAATAAACAAAGCCAACTAGCGTAACTCGGGTGAGTGCGTCTAGTAAATTGTAGTGATTATTCGGGAGAGATTTACGGTAATAAGAGTGCTCATGATTGATAGAGACGATTAGGCGAATCTATGTGAAACATAACCGAAAGGGATTCCATTAATAGGAGAAATTATAACCTTAGAACTTTCTCTTAATTGTTTACAACTTAATCATAGTTAGTTTTCAGTTGCTTATTTACTTTCATTCTTAGTTAGTAGAAATACCATCAATTGTTATTGACAACATTTGGAAAGTTGATTCCGGAGAATTTAGTAAATCCAACGAAAGTAATTGATAGGTTAATTCCTTGTGGGTTCGACTCTGGGCTAAATACTCAGATTATATTTGCAACGTCCGCGTGTCCTTTTTATAAGGCATAGTTGGGCGTGATCAATTTTTGGCGCTGTTGCCGAGGAATTTAATGGTGTTATCAATTGCAATTAAAAGAAGTACAAAAATTCTTAGTGTAGTCAGTTTTCTCTATACCCAATCTTTACATTGAAATTTTAACGTTTGTTGACTTGGTTGTATAAGTGCATGCCTAGAAACTCATCGAGAACTGGTGAAGTATTTGAAGCATTATCAGATCCCAAGAAATTTTTCAAGGCCTTGAATCGGGCCAACCGGAAAAGCAAACAACAACAAACAACTGAACAAATCGAACCAGACATGGGGGGCAATGTGGTAGACCCAGCAGCGCCAATAGCACCTGTGGCACCTCTTGTGCCAGAGGCTGTTCTCTATGACTGGGCACAACCCACAGCTGAAAATCTAGCCACAATGATTTTAGTCCCGCAGATACAGGCTGAATCATTCCAAATCATGAATAACATGTTGCACTTGTTGCAAAACAAGGGACTATTTTCGGGGTCACAAGTCAAAGATCCTCAACAGCACTTGAAAAATTTCCTGTCAATCTGTAAAACCCAAAGGTAACCCAACATAACTTCGGAATCAATCAAGTTGTTATTGTTTCCATTCTCAATGACAGGAGCTGCCCAGACCTGGATAAACTCACTCCCCATAAATTCCATAACAACTTGGGAGGGGTTAGTCAAGCAATTCCATAACAAGTTCCACCCACCCAACAAGACTTCTCAACAAATTGATGAAATTTTGAGTTTTAAATAGAGACCAATGGAGACACTACATGAAACATTGGAACGTTTCAAATGGATGCTGGTTATATGTCCGCACCATGGTATTCCAGATCTGATGTTGGTGCAGCGATTTTATATGGGATTATCAAATAGCGTGAAGAACATTATTGATGCTTCAGCTGGTGGAGCATTTTTGAGCAAAACATGGAGAGAACGCCAGAGTCTGCTTGATAAGATGGCGCAGAATTCGGGATGGACAACCAGGAATGCACCTATCATTCCAGTGGTTCACTCAGCGCCCTTAGATCCATCCAACTTTATGGCTGAAAATATGGCCACCTTATTGATACAGATGAGTATACTCACTAAAAAGGTGGAAGAGTCAGGGCAGAAGCAGCAGGTACACATCGTAGATGTTACCAATGGGGCCTTGTGCACATATTGCATTAGTTAGCCAATTGGTAACTAGTGGAATGCAGAACATGATCGTCATCACTACCCTGAAGACATGAACTATGTGTCTAATTATGGAGGCCAGAGACATGGTGGTCAGAATTGGGGCCAGCAAAATCAGTTGTACAAGCCAGTCCAGTCACAGTTCAACAATGGGAACATGGGAGGTATGAGACCTCCTAACAATATGGCACCTTACCCAAGGTCATAAGGATATAATAATCAGAATCAGTAGCAGGGGTATCACCCTTCTCAGCAGCAACATGATGGACGGTAGGAAAATGAGTTTGCTAGACTTGAGGCAATGATGCAGTAGGTTATTGGGTCTAATGCAAAAATTAGCGAGAGAGTAGATGCACACGATTCAGCTATCAAGAATATTGAAGTACAGATGGGCCAAATTTCAATGTCCCTAAACAATCGTCCTCATAGGACATTACCTACAGACACTCAAATAAACCTCAAAGATCAAGACCCGAAGCAGCTGATGGCAGTGAGTCTACGGAATGGCAGAGATTTAGACGTAGAGCAAGAAAGGGCTCGAGAGAGCAGACAGGCTGAGACTCTCATACCAGTGCCCATTGAGCTAGATGAGTCAACAAAACTGATAGAGGTGACAGTCCAGCCTACTCAGGAAGAACACAACATTCAGATTGAGACTGAGAAAGAAGCTGAGACAACTCAGGAACAAGTAGTTGAGGTGGCAGCTGATAAAGAGCAGTCCTAAATCATTGGGAAGAAGAGACCCCCTGCACCATTCCCTCAGAGGCTGGCTAAGCACAAAAAAGATGAGCAATACAAGAAATTCTTAGAGATGCTGAAACAAATCCAGGTAAATATTCCATTGATAGATGCTTTGAAAGAGATTCCTGGGTATGCAAAAATGATGAAGGACTTAATGTCTAGAAAATTCAATTTCCATGACCTGGCCACGGTGACTCTTACTCAAACCTGCAGTGCAGTGGTGACTAGACCAATTGTGGAGAAGCTATCTAACCTAGGGAGCTTTACAATTCCCTACATTATTGGTAATTTTGATTTTGCTAAGGCACTTTGTGATCTAGGGGCTAGCATTAATCTTATGCATCTGGCGATTTATAAGAGGCTGGGGATTGGAAGAGCTAGACCCATCTCTATGTTGTTGCAGCTGGCTGATCGGACTGTAAAAAGACCCTCTGGTATCCTGGATGATATGTTGATTTAGGTGGGGAAATTTGTGTTCTCTGCAGATTTTGTGATCTTGGACTGCAAGGTGGATGAAGAAATTCCCATAATTTTGGGAAGACCGTTCTTGGCTAATGGGAGAGCTCTCATTGATTGTAAGACTGGAGAGCTCAAGATGAGAATGAACAATGAAGAGATAGCATTCAATGTGCAGAAATCTATGAGGCGACCAAGTGAATTCGCCAATTGCTCTCTTATTGATGCCTGGATGTAATTGTCGAAACTGATGATGAGATGCTGACTATTGAGGACCCTCTTGCTGCATGCCTAATGAATTTAGATGAGGTGAATGGAGAAGAACTGGCAGAATGGGTGTTGCCACTAGAGGGTAGAGGGTTTTGGAACAGAACCCTTGAAATTGAGCCCTTGCACTTAGAAAAAAGAGAAACTCCTCTAGCCAAGCCATCCATAGAAGAACCACCAAAGCTGGAATTGAAGCCAATGCCCGCCCATCTCAGGTATGAATTTATTGGACCTAACTCCATATTACCTGTTATTATCTCATCTAGTTTGTTAGATGTGCAGGTGCAACAACTTTTGCAGGTACTTAAGGAGTGTAAGATTGTAATTGGGTGGACCATGGTAGACATTAAGGGGATCAGCCCAGCCTATTGTATGCATAAAATTTTGTTGGAAGAGGAACACAAACCTTCCAAGGAACACCAAAGAAGGCTGAACCCCAACATGAAGGAAGTGGTGAAGAAAGAAGTGATTAAGTGGTTGGATGCAGGAATCATTTTCCCAATCTCTGACAGCAACTGGGTTAGCCTAGTACAATGTGTTCCTAAGAAGGGTGGCATGACAGTGGTAAAAAATGATAACATTGAGCTGATCTCTACAAGAACCATCAGTGACTATGCAGTGGGAGCAATGCTGGGACACCAGAAAGACAAGCTAATTCATCCAATCTACTATGCTAGTAGAACGCTGAGTGGAGCCCAGCTGAACTACACTGTGACTGAAAAGGAGATGTTGGCTGTGGTGTTTGCTTTCGATAAGTTCAGATCATACCTGATTGGCTCTAAGGTAATTGTATACACTGATCATGCAGCTCTCAGGTACTTGATTGAGAAGAAGGAGTCTAAGCCGCGCCTGATTCGTTGGGTGTTGCTACTGCAAGAATTCGACCTCGAAATTCGTGATCATAAGGGCACAGAAAACCAAGTCGCTGATCATCTATCACGACTTGAGGGAGCTGAAAACTCAATTGAGGTTGAGGATATTCTGGAAACCTTTACAGACGAGCAGCTGCTCGCTACTAGTCTTGAGGAAGTGCCATGGTATGCAGACTTTGCAAATTACCTGGCCAACGATATAGTTCCCTATGACCTTTCCTCTGTACAAAAGAAAAAGTTTTATCGTAACTGCCGGATGTATTATTGGGATGTACCTTACCTGTTTTGAATAGGTGTTGACAATATTATCCGGAGGTGCGTCCCCGAGATAGAACAATCTTCTGTTTTGCAGGCATGTCATGCATCGGCGTATGGAAGGCATTTTGGAGGAGTCAAGACAACTGCGAAAGTGCTAGAGGCCGACTTCTTTTGGTCAACAGTGTTTAAATATGCGCACCAATGGGTGAAGGGATGCAATGAATGTCAGCGGACCGGGAACATTTTCCGTCACCATGAGATGCCCATGAACCCGATTCAAGAGGTGGAAGTGTTTGATGTCTGGGGGATTGACTTCATGGGACCCTTCGTCAGCTCCTTTGGCAATAAGTACATACTTGTTGCTGTGGATTACGTGTCCAAATGGGTAGAATCTACAGCGTTGCCCACTAATTATGCAAGAGTGGTGGTGGGATTTTTGAAGAAGAACATATTCACCCGCTTTGGGACACCAAGAGCGATTATCAGTGACGGAGGCATCCACTTTTGTAATAGAGCATTCGAGAAGTTGCTAGCAAAGTATGATGTACGCCACAAGGTGGATACCCCATATCATCCCCAGACTAGTGGGCAGGTTGAAGTGTCCAACAGAGAGATAAAGAGTGTGCTAACCAAGACTGTGAACGCCACAAGAACTGATTGGGCGAAAAAGTTAGATGATGCACTTTGGGCCTATAGAACTGCTTTTAAAACACTGATTGGTATTGCACCATATAAGTTGGTGTTCGAGAAGGCCTACCATTTGCCAGTGGAACTTGAACATAGAGCTTGGTGGGCACTAAAACAGTTGAATCTAGACATTGAGGTTGCGGGCACAACGAGAATCATAGAGTCACATGAGCTCCACAAGTTCAGACATCTTGCTTTTGAGAGCACAAGGTTGTACAAGGAAAGAATGAAGAGGTTGCACGACAAGAACATTGTGGATCAAAATTTCAAGCCCGGAGATATGGTGTTGCTTTATAACTCATGATTAAGGCTATTTCCGGGTAAACTCAGGTCATGATGGTCTGAACCATTTCGAGTGGTCGAAGTATTCCCTTCAAGTGTTGTAGAGATTGACGCAGAGAAAGACTCTCGTACATTTAGAGTCAATGGGCAAAGATTGAAACTATATGTGGGCATGAATGAACCAAAAGAAGTGCCTGAGATCCTCCTAACTGAACCTCAGAGGTCGAGCGAGCCTTAAATGCGCTTATTTGCGTCGTGCCGCGACGTTAAATCAGGCGCTTATTGGGAGGCAACTCAATTGTTAACCTCACTAACCCATAATTGTAGTTTAGGATTATTAGAATTTGGGAGTTATGAGACTTTATTGGGTAGTTACAAGCATGAATTGGACATAAAATAAGTACATAATAGAGTCGGGGTGCAACCCGGAAGCTAAATGTCGAAAATAAATCAAAATCTGTGAAAAATGGCCTACCGCGCTGCATGGGGTGCCGTGCCATGCACCGCGCCATGCCAAACGGGTCTGAGAAAATAAAGTGTCAGACCGCTGATAAATTACACTACCGCACCGCATGGGGTGTCGCGCCCTGCGCCACGGTAGTACAGTTTTAAAAAAATATATTTTTTTTAAGTGCTGTTCAGCGCACCCCAGGTGGGGTTCTCCTATTTGAATGTATTTGTACTTTTCTTTGTTTTTCATTTGCCAGTTAGTTTTGTTTGATTTGTTTCTTGCTTTTTGAGACAATTGGTCTGTAAACTATAATTCTGAATTCTATCGGGCCTATAATAGTTCGTAATTAAGTATGTAGTTCGACTCTTCCCGATGATGGATTTTGTCGATTGATTTCTTGAGGGAGATGAGTTGAAAGAGAAGAAAAAAAACTCATATATGTGAAAAACCAAAAATATGTCTTTTATTTTATTTTATTTTCTTTTAGGTAGTGTAACAATTCCCCCTTGATTTTTCTTTGTGCCGCGGTTCTTTTCCAAGGGTTTTGCTTGAACCGGGTGTAGTTAACTCTTTTTATTTTTTTAGGAATTAAGAATCTTTAGTTAGGAAGCTAAGTTTAAGGATCAATGTCCCTTGATTGCATATTGTAGACATGTGATTTTTTACCCTCCCCAAGATTTTTTATATTTTAGCATGTAAATATTTAACTTAGGTCTAATATCGCTATTTCAATTAATTTTGACTCTTTTATTTTATTTTATTACAAGAAAATGAAAATTACAAAAATATTTTATTTTATGTACCTTTCATAAAGTAAAAAAAAATACAAAAATAGTACCTTATTTTTATCTTTATATAATCTTGAAAAATACAATAAAATATATTATAGTTTCATGTTTTAATATAGTTTAGTTTAATTAATTAGAATTTATTTTTGCATCATGTAGTATAATTATCTTATATTAAAGGAATTTAGCTATGGTTTTGAATAATAATTTTGGAGTCTTCTTAGCCCAAAATTGAGACACAAAAAGACATGGTCCAACCAAATTACCCTTAGCCCATTCTTCCCAACCCATTAGCCCATTTAAGTGCAAAATTTAATCCTAACCATCTATTTCCTTCTAATCCAATGGCCATCATCCCTTCCCACTTCATATAAAATATCCAATTATAGAAACTCTACCCTAAGTTTTTCAATTCCTAGACCTAAACCCTAGGGAGATGAGTGCCGTTTTTTGATAATAGAGCCCTACCCATCGTTGTTTCTTCTTCAGGGAACCAAATACACGATTTCCTCCCATCGTTCTTCACCATCTTCAAACTTTCAACACCCAAAACAACACACACTCAAATAACGACCCCACCCCCCGGTCTTCTTCTTCGTCCTTACGTCCACTAACGACCATTCTCACGCAAGCCTGAACCAAATAGGCATCTCCACCTTTCTCCTTCAACCATAACACACCCAAAACTTAGAAAAGCTTCAGCCGTTTGGACCCGTTGTTTCCAACAGAAAACAGATCCTAAGACATTAAGAGCTAGAGCCGTTTGGTTTCAATCATTTAGACACCCTGGAGCAGACCTTCTTCCTCTCTTAAAGAGCAAATCGAGTAACAAAAAAACCGAGTAGGGAACGGAAACTGAGGTTCGAGGTTCAGGTCAGTCGCCGATTCGAGTTTTGGTCCGACGAAGTCGTCGACTTGTCGAAGTTAACGTTCATAACTCCGGTGCTGGTTCTATTTACTTTTGGTCTATTTTTCTTGCCTCCGATTATTCCGTTCAGAAGTATTATTCATGAGTTTAATGTACGATTTGATCAATTTTCTTGTTTGGATTAGTTAGTTTATTTGCTTCAATTTAATGATGATTTTGAACTTCCATAGATGTGTTTTTGAGCTTCTGTCGTTTTCTGCTCTGGAAGGCATTCCTTGGTGTGATATTTTCCATTGTATAATTGATGTTGTAGCTTGAATAACTTTATCAGGGAACTTTATGGATAGTTTTCTATTACTAGGATATGTTTTGTTTCTTTGTAAAGAGCACTTTGTTGGTTGTTGAGATTTTCATATTTTTGTTTCTTATGGAAAATTTATAATCCCAAAACTAATGGCCATCGCTTAATTAATTTTAATCCTTTAGAAATCGAGGTATGCCATTTAGTTGAATTTTCCATGGCCCTCGAAA